GTGAAGAAGTTTTTGCGAGCCGTACCGATACGATTTATACAAAGCGTAACATCGATCGAGCAATTCGGAGATTTGAAGAATATGACGGTGGAAGAAGTTGTGGGTCGTCTTAAGACCCATGAAGAGAGACTTCGAAGCTATGGAGAAAAAGAAGAAGGACCTTCTCTATTGCTTACACATGCCTAGTGGGCATCTCGTTCGAAGCAAACTGGCGAGAGAAACTCGTCAAACACTTCAAGAGGACGAGGAGGACATGGTAACCGAGGCCGGGGACGAGGCCGAGGTCGTGGACGTGGCCAAGGAGGTGGTCGCGAGTACAATACAAATCAGAATGACCATAATCCTTCTCGAAAGGATAAAAGTAAAGTCAAATGCTTTACTTGTGAACAATTTGGTCATTATGCTTCGGAGTGTCCAAACAAGAATCGAGGTGAGGAGGCAAACCTCACTCAAGCCAATGAAGAAGAGCCTATTTTAATGATGGCAACCTCACAAGAATATGCACACAAAAAAGTGTCTCTAAGAGAGAAGATTTGTGTTAATCTTCTTGCATCGGGAGAAAGTCGAGTCGAGTCTGAGGTATGGTATCTCGACAACGGTGCTAGCAATCACATGACTGGAGACCGCTCAAAGTTTCGCGAACTAGATGAGCACGTTACGGGCCATGTGAAATTTGGGGATGGTTCGACCGTCGCTATTTTGGGAAAAGGGTCGATTTTATTCGATAGCAAAAATAGTGACCAAAGATTCCTTAATGAGGTATATTTCATTCCAAGTCTAAAAACAATATTATTAGTCTTGGACAAATGACGGAGGAAGGGAGTCGGGTCATAATGGATGGGTCGGATCTGACATTGTTTGACAGAAACAAAACTCTACTTTTGAGAGTTAAACGATCCCCAAACCGGTTATATAAAACTCCTTTAAGGACCGGTAGACCGACTTGTCTTTTAGCAACAAAAGACGAACCAGCTTGGATATGGCATTCTAGACTCGGTCATGTTAACTTTCTCGCCTTAAAGAAGTTGTCCGAAAAGAATATGGCAATCGGAGTCCCAAAGATTGAGCACCCAAACCAAGTATGTGAAGGGTGCAATCTTTCCAAACAAACCCGAATTCCTTTCCTGGATCATGCAGTTTTTCGGGCTCAAAAACCTCTACAACTTGTTCATGCGGACTTATGTGGTCCGATCACACCTACGTCTGTTGGAGGGAGTAAATATTTTCTCCTTTTAGTAGACGATTTTAGCCGGTGGATGTGGGTTTACATGCTATCGGAGAAGTCTCAAGCCTTGAGCGCTTTCAAACGGTTCAAGTTGATGGTTGAAAAGAATTCGGGTTATAAAATAAAGACACTTCGAACGGACCGAGGGGGAGAGTTCACTTCAAAAGAATTCTCATTATTTTGTGAAGAAAATGGTATTCAAAGGCATCTTACGACACCATATTCGCCTCAACAGAACGGAGTTGTAGAAAGGCGAAATCAGACCGTTATGGACATGGCAAGAAGTCTGCTCAAAGGTAGAAATGTTCTGGGAGAGTTTTGGGGAGAAGCGGTTAGACATGCAGTTTATCTTCTCAACCGCCTGCCAACAAAAGTACTTCCCGACAAGACGCCTTATGAAACGTGGTTTGGCAAAAAGCCCAACCTTGAACATCTAAAAGTTTTTAGTTGTGTTGCTTTTGCTAAACTTGTAGGTGGTCACCTGAAGAAGCTTGATGATCGAAGTAAGAAGATGGTGTATTTAGGTGTGGAAGATGGAACTAAAGGCAACCGTTTGTTTGATCCGGAAGACCGAAAGTTGCGAGTTAGTCGCGATATTGTTTTTGACGAAAAAGAAGAATGGAATTGGTACAAAAACAAAGAAGAAGAGATGACGACTCCTAAGACCTTTAACATAATTGAACCACAACCCCAAATACACCTCGAAATACCTCAAAATGACCCCGAAATCAATCTGGAACAACCAAACAGTCCAGGAATCGATGCTATCCAAGTTGGACAACCATATGCTGAATTTGACGAGCCTGAATCAGCCCACAAACTCCTGTCTCAGCCCCGTTTTCTTCAACATCACCCCATATGGAAAGCCCTTCTAGTGAGATTGGGCCAAGGGGATTGCGTCCGTTAACCGATATTTATTCTGAAACCGAAAATGTGTTCCTTGAACCCGGAGAATTGTTGATGATTGCAGCGGATCAACCCTTGATTTTTAAAGAGGCGGTAACCTCTAAGGCATGGCAGGAGGCTATGCAAACAGAGTTGGATGCAATCGAGAAGAACAAGACATGGCAACTTACCGATTTGCCATCCGGACACAAAGCAATCGGTTTGAAATGGGTGTTTAAAGTGAAGAAAGACAACTTGGGAAAAGTGGTGAAGCATAAAGCTCGACTTGTAGCAAAAGGATTTGTACAAAAGGAAGGAGTCGACTTTGATGAAGTTTTTGCACCGGTAGCACGACTTGACACCGTAAGGCTCATTCTTGCCTTAGCAGCTCAACATGGGTGGGTTGTCCACCATCTCGATGTCAAATCGGCTTTTCTCAATGGAGATCTCAAAGAGGAGGTTTATGTCACCCAACCAGAAGGATATGTTGATAAAGCAAACAGTCACAAGGTGTTCAAGCTTTATAAAGCTCTTTATGGTCTACGACAAGTTCCTCGAGCTTGGAACATTCGTTTGGATAAAAGCTTAAAAAGGCTTGGTTTTACAAAAAGTTCACAAGACCCAGCTGTTTACAAAAGGAACTCAAAAGACAAAATTCTTATTGTTGGTGTCTATGTTGATGACTTGATCATTACCGGGTCGAACACTAATGATGTTGTCGAATTCAAAGAACAAATGAAGAAAGAATTCGAAATGAGTGACTTGGGATTACTTTCTTACTGCCTTGGAATCGAAGTTTCGCAAAAGAAGTGGGGAATATCTTTGCGACAAACGGCTTATGCAAAGAAGATTTTAGAGCAATTTGGGTTGCTGGATTGCAATCTGACAACGTCACCAATGGAACCTAAGTTGAAGGTTAAGAAGGATGAAGATGGTGAAAAAGTTGATCCAACTGAATATAGGCGAGTGGTAGGTTGTTTGAGGTACTTGACTCACACTCGACCAGACCTGTCATTTTCGGTTGGAATTGCAAGTCGTTTCATGGAGGAACCAACCACTTTGCATTTCCAAGTTGTGAAACACATCTTGCGATACGTAAAAGGAACCGTTGATTATGGAATCAACTATGGAAGAGGTCGTGAAATTGAAGATTTGGTTGGTTTTACCGATAGTGATCTTGGAGGTGACCCTGTTGATAGCAAGAGCACAAGTGGAATGATTTTCTATCTGGGAAGGAATGCGATAACTTGGCAATCCCAAAAGCAAAAGACCGTTGCTTTGTCCACGTGTGAAGCCGATTTCATGGCAGCTACAACAGCAGCATGTCAAGCCATTTGGCTTGCTAATCTCGTGAAGGAGCTCACGGGACATCATATTATGCCTATCACCTTATATGTCGATAACAAGTCAACAATCGCATTGATGAAAAATCATGTGTTTCATGGTCGAAGCAAACATATTGACATTCGTTATCACTTCATACGAGAATGTGTTGAACGTGGGCAAATTATAGTGGAATATGTCAACTCGAAGGATCAACGGGCGGGCATCTTTACAAAGGCTTTAGCATACGTGAAACATGGTGAAATGCGAAACATGATCGGAGTGACGAATCTCGAGCCAAGTTAGGTTTAAGGGGGAGAATGTGAGTGTAAACCTACTTGGGTGTGAACCTGCCATGAGTAGCTATACCACCCTCTTTAGTTGACAAATGAATCCCTCCTTTGTTGACAATAAGAACTCAAATGGCAACTTCGTATGTTCATATAATGAACACAATAAATGGTAGCAGTAGTAATTGTAGGCTTGTTTAAGTATAAATAGAGGCTCTAACCTCAGTTGTAAGACACCACAAAACAAAGAGTGTAGTGTGTAATACTTAAAGTGAGTATTAGAGGGTTGTTTCTTTTTCTTGTAATATTGAGCGTGTAAGCTCTTCTCTTTTGTTCTAGTTCTGAATAAAAATGTGTTTCAACCCCAACAACTTTTATTTTAAGCTCATTTATTTGCATTAACCAAAAATCGCCATTTTTATACCCACTTTCAAGTTTCTAAATTTCCTCGATAAGACTTCAATCTTAGAGAATACATTTTTGTATTGATCCTCTCCCAACACTGATTGACCACCTAATCCAGTCATGGGTCCACTAACCACGAATGAAAAAATTTAAAGGAAAGGAACTGAAATCTTTGAAATTCATTATTCACATGATGATGGAGTGTAGTCTAGTGTGCTAAACTTTGTCCAACTGTACTAATATGCGTCAACTTATTCCCGCCAGGTTTTAGATCAGCCAGACCAAATAGTTGATGAATTTGTTGAAAATTAATATGTAACACCATTTATACGTTATAGTGGCTAAGTATTGCTATTGAATATTGGTGAAATAGAAGAGGAGAAAAGAGAAGAAATATATATAGGGTAGAAGAGAGAGGCCTAAAATTCATCCGTCCCTTTTTTCTTTCTCGTTGTTGTCACCGACGAGGGAGTTTCGACTCTCTCTAAATTTCACCTCCACACTCTGAAAGTTTACCCCTTTGATCCTCCCACTTGACTTATACCCTTACTTTTCTGTTATAATAAAAAAACATTGATCATCATCAGTTTAAGTGTCTTAAACCTCAAATTTTACCCATATATTATCTTTATTTTTACACATGCCCTCACTCAAATGACGGCAATACCCCTTCTTCCGATTTCATAAATTTGCAAAAGAAAACGAAACCGTGTATTAGAAATTTAGAATTTGGTTTGTCATATTTTCTTTAAAGTCAGTGACCACTATGGATACTTATATAATAGCATCTTTAATATACTACATTGAAAGATAATAATTTCTACCATAATAGTCAAACTTTTCTATATTTAACCGGTTGTTTTATATTTCAGCCAAATACTCAACAAATAAACCTAAGAGCTCCCATCAAAACCCATTTGTGATCATTGGGTTGCCAGTGATTGCAGCAGGGCTTATCATTTCTGTGTTCATCTGTTGTTACATAAGGAAAAAGAAAGGTATGTCTTTGTTGGTTACTCTCGTAGAAGAACAATAAACTTAAAGGAAATGCATCAATACACTAGTTTTTGCTAACACTTAATTGTTTGTTCTTATTAAAAGCCAATCAAAGTAAACGCGAAATCCGATTAGGTTTTAGTGATAGCTTGAAATCCGTGGAAGGTTCTTTCATGGAGAAGGATTTTGGAGAAAACGTTGATTTACATGTGTTCGACCTGAGCACAATAGTTGCAGCAACCGATAATTTTTCTTTTTCAAACAAACTAGGAGAGGGTGGCTTTGGCTCAGTTTATAAGGTAATCTCTTCCTTATGATCATTAATATCTTCATGTAGCTTATGTAACTTTTTATGAGTTTTTCAGGGTAAGCTACTTAATGGGCAAGAAATAGCTGTCAAAAGATTATCGCAAGGTTCAGGTCAGGGGATGCATGAATTCACGAACGAAGTGACATTGATAGCAAAACTTCAACATAGGAATCTTGTAAGGCTTTTGGGATATTGTTTTCACAAAGAAGAAAAGATGTTAATCTACGAATACTTACCAAACAAAGGCTTGGACTCTTTCATCTTCGGTTTGTTTTGTGACCTACAACTTTTCCAAATCCTCGTACGTTTCTTAAGATTTGTACTTTCTAAATTTCTCAACCTAATGGTGTTCTAGATCAAGAAAAAGGGTGTCTTTTGGATTGGAAAAAACGGTTTTTGATCATTCGGGGAATCGTTCGTGGATTGCTATATCTTCATCAGGATTCTAGGCTCAGGATCATCCACAGAGATCTGAAAGCAAGCAATGTTTTGCTAGATGCAGATTTAAACCCTAAAATTTCAGATTTTGGAATGGCAAAAATATTTGGAAGCGATCAAGACCAAGCTATAACACGTAGAGTTGTTGGAACATAGTATGTTTCCATTTATATAATTAGCACAAATCAGTTTTGTTCAACTTTCCTATCCATAATCCATCTAACATGGATGCAATATAATTGTAGTGGCTATATGTCTCCGGAGTATGCAATGGAAGGTCTTTTCTCAGTGAAATCCGATGTCTATAGCTTTGGAATTCTAGTTTTGGAGATTATCAGTGGAAGGAAAAACAACAGCTACTATCTAGAGAACTCAGTTAATTTGGTCGGACATGTAAGGAACTGAGTTTATACTGTGTGTTGCTTGCTTTTTGACAATTCCCAAATTAAAAGAAAATTCATCATCGTTCACATGGTTTTTAGGTTTGGGATTTATGGAAACAAGATAAAGCTTTGACAGTGGTCGATTCATCATTAGGAGATGCATATGATGCTCGTGAAATTCTATTATGTATCCATGTTGGGATTCTATGCGTTCAAGAATCGGCAACTGATCGGCCAACAATGACAGATGTAGCATTTATGTTAAGTAATCGTGAGACACAACTCCCTACTCCTAATCAACCAGCATATATCTTTAGACAATTAAATTATGGTACAGACTCAACAACAGCTTCGGCTAGTTGTGGAGATGGGTCAGTCTATGATAGGAGCATCACTACTGTTTATGCTCGGTGATCCTATAAACCATTGAATCAATTACTTTGAACATGAGCTCATGTCCCTTCCTATAAAGTGTCAAGAATCAAGTTCTGCATTTTGTAAGTAGCATTTGGAGATACTTTCAACATTATGCATATGTAATGGGTTGCAACTTATTATGGAGTGATGCAACACTTAAAGTTGTTGCATTATCAACTTGTAGGATACATGTAAATAAGCAACTAGCTACTATTACAATCATGTGGTATGTTTGATGAAAATGTTAGATTTTGGTGTTTGCTTTTCCTTTGTAGATTAATAATCATGTGGTATGTTTGATGAAATGGTTAGATTTAGGTTTTTGCTTTTGCTTAATTGGTTCAATTCCAAAGACTTATTTTCTAATTTAAAATTTATTGGTAACATCGTACGGCTAGAATTTAAATCTCTAGGTCATCTTCATCAATATAAGGAGTTGTTTGGTTAACATAATGATTTTGTAAGTAATGAAATTTAACAATGAAATGTGAATATGAATGAACCGATAGGAATTAATATCACTTTGGATTGCATATATGATAAATGAATTGGAGTGGAAATTAGGTCTACTAAATACCCTCAATTAGTTTTTCGATAAATTTCTCTTGTTTTATACAAAATAATAATATTAACATTTGGTGATTCTTTTTTATTTGTTAAACTACACATTTATAGTTATTTTAATAAAAAAAACCACACAATTTCTTGTTACCCAATTCTCAATCACCGGTTTGGAAACCATTACAGCGCACATTGTCACATGTAAATCCATATGCGACCATAAACATCTTCGTCACCTGCCTATCAACCATCTTGCTCCATAATCACCTTTAACCCTCTTGTATTTCATCCTTCCTTGCCGATTGTTTTGATAAATTTATTTGATGCATGTGAATGCTAATCAGGGATACTCCATCATAATCGTCATCATATTCCCTGCAGAAACTTATTCTTAAAAAACGTTTTAAAGAAGAGCCAGGACAATTTGGTCTTTATCAAAATATTTATAGATGAAAATTTGATTATTTAAGTTTAGCCAAGAGTGACTAATTCCTTTATATACAGATTTTGGTGGAATTGAACAAAATTATATGCCTTCAAATTGTCAACCAATCGTCATATCCATATAATCTTTCATTACAATTCCTTTAGATTCCATTAAAATTTGTAAACCAAACACGACAAAAATTTCTTTTTTAGATATCACCCTCATCAACCAAAACCAAAAATAAATAATCTACCTTATTAGAAAGCTTAACTTTATTGAAGTACTCCTTGAAGATCCATATTTTTAGAAATGGCCCCCTCTATGTGGCTTCGAAATGCCCTTCAAAAATCTTTGAGGAAATTCCTGAAAAGAATATTAGAAAATTCATAATATATATCTTCGAAAATATTTGAAGAAAATCATTCTTGGAAATATTTTTGTACAAAATAGATGTATGTTATTACCTTAAAAATCACAAACCAGATCTAAAGTTATAAATTTATATCTTCGACAATCAAAAACTAGTTAAAATATCATAAACTGTTTTCAAAATTCTCTTATGTAAAAAATATCAAGTTGTATTTGGTCGAGAGATTATCAAAACAAGATAAATGAAACCAATGAATCATATATTCATGTCTTGGACACGGGTGAATTTACGCTCTTGGACTACCACATACAATGGGCGGTGGAGGTCATGGTAGATCTTGTTGTTGAGATTCTCCACTAATATAGGCGCAAGAGCTATTTTTTTGCAACATATCATTCATCCAATGGTTCTAGTTTATGTAGCATCTTGAAACCCTAAATAACACTAGTAGAAAAATTGGCTTTTAATGATAGATGAACAATGACATACACTATTTTATTACAAAAAAAAAAGTTTTCATAAAACTTATATCATCTTTTGTAAAATTTTAAAAATTTACGACAAACATAAATGTATGTGTAAAATGTTTTCATCTTTTATTAAAATCCATGACATAAATAAATATATGCCGTCTTTTATCGTGTCATAAAATGAAATTAAAAAAAAAGGGATGTGCTTTTTAATTTTTCTATCATCTTGAAATAATATCACGTTGCCTTTTATTTCTCCACATCTTAATAGCGTTTTTGTTTATTATGTTCTGGTTCTCTCTTTTACGCATCGACCACTCTTAGGGTTTCAAGTTGATAGTGTTAATATATATATATATATATATATATATATATATATATATATATATATATATATATATATATATATATATATATATATATATATATTGTAACATCCGTGTCCTTGGATGAATCGAATTAGTGTTTCGAAGGGTCAAAAGATTGGATTTTTGTGAAAAGGGGTCCTCACGACGAGAGGCATGGAGGCTCACGACGTGAGGACGGCCGCATGAAGATTCCATCCGGGACTGAGCTCACGACATAAGCAATAAGAGCTCACGACGTGAGGAGAGCTGCAGCCCAAGCCCACGAAATTTTAGTGTTTCCCATGTATTTAAGCTCCCTTATCTCGTTTTTAGGGTTCATTTCTCAGCCTCCACCTTCCCCTAACTCAGAAAACCCTAACCCTAATCCATCATGGTGATTTTGGATCCATTTTAGTGTTTTGGTGGCTAGAAGAAGAAGAAGAAGAAGAAGAAGAAGAAGAAGAAGAAGAAGGGGTTTTAGAGTGTTGGTTCAGTAAAGAGGCTTCATCATCATCATTTTGTGCACAATTTGGACCATTGTAAGTATCTAATATCCAATCTTTATAAGCTCAAATTGCTAGATCTAAGTTCTAAGCTCCTTTTTGCATGTTTATGTTGGATTGCATGCTTGGGATCCATAAAGTTGACATCTTTATGGATCAATGAGTCATTCTCTATGATTTAGTCTTATGGATCTGGAGTGTGGCTGTAATTTATGAATCTTGGTTGAGTTTAGGGCCATTTCTTGTCATTTTGACCTAAGATGGATTTAGGACATGCTTGGGGGATGCATGTCCATCAAGTAATCGTTTTGATTGGCCTTTGAAGTACTTGTTAGCTTCTACAAGAAGTAGCTTTAAAGGCTTAATGGATTAAGGACTTAAAAGTTGGGTTTTTAGCCTCAGACGCACGACGTGAAGACACAAGGTCTCACAACATGGGAAGTGTTGGTCCCGTTTCTGGTCATCTGCTTAGGGCTCACGACGTGAGAAAGGATTCTCACGTAGTGATGGCAACCCCGTTGACTTTTCCTTGGCTGAATTGACTATGTTGAGTCGTGATGAGTTGGGATCTGATTGAGTAAACTCTCACGACGTGACTAAGGCTAGTCACGACGTGAGGTGTGTTTTTTAGGCTTTTGGGCCCTAGTTTTCTGTATGTGGGCCTTTTTGGTGCTTGGGCCCATTTGGAGTATTAAGTATCTTTTAGGAAGTTGGGCCTTAGTGGGCTTTTGATGCTATTGACGGGCCTCAGATTTTTGGGCCAAGTAAGGAAAGGGTAAAATGGACTTTTACCCTGAGTGTTGAACAATCGGACTTGACTCCTAGCTTTGGGTTGTGGACCAATTATTAATTTGGTATTATTTGTTGCTGCTAGCGTGCGGGGATTTTTTAGCGGGCCAACAACCAGAGATTTATCTGTGGGATTCAGCAGTGTGAGGTGAGTTTCCTCACCATGTTTAACGGGTCGAAGGCATCAATGCAAGCCTATGGTTTATTATGTTAGGATGCTAGATGTCTTCGTGACTCTTGTATGTGTATATGTTGGTATGCTTACCGTGCAAGGCCCGATGTCGGGCGGGGACCGATGGTTATTCTGTTATATGAGTTTGGGCGGGGCCCATTATACTCAGTGGGTGGGGCCCGTTATATAAGTCTGGGCGGGGGCCGTTATATTCAGTGGGCGGGGCCCGTTACACTCAGTTTATGTTTCAGGTACTTCTGGTTTCAAAGCGAAGAGCCCGGGATGATTGCAGAGCACACACCACTCGATTCCGCATTTTGTGATTTACACTGATAATGATGATGTACTAATAAAATTTGATTACCTAGGTTTTATGACAATGATATGGTTTATTGTTTTATGAAATGTAAGAATGAAAGATTTTCGGGTCTTATTTTTGGGACGTTACAAGTTGGTATCAGAGCCTTGGTTTGAGGGATTCAGACATACTCTCAGGTGTGTCTGAACTCAAACTGAGGGTTTGGTAAAGTTTTTCAAAAATATATATTTTTAAAGAAAAGGGTTTTCTAATACAAAAAAGGTGTGGTGCATGAAATCGACCGAGCTCAAGTAAGTTTTTCCCAAAATACCCGTACATGTTATCTGATATGATTTGATTTATGAATCTGTGAATCGCGTGCTAGTTAGGGCTAAGGATCTGCTCAGTGTTTGCATGATAGAATGCCAGGAGAGATGCCTTGTATGCCTATTGTATGAGCTTGTAGACTTGTATGCTAGTTTTGATCAGTCAGTGATAGATTGGCCTGATATGTGATGCCTTGTAGCCTATGAAGCATGGGATGCTAGATTAGGTATAATTTGTATACGTAAGGCAATCAGCAGCGAGAGTGGAAGTTCCTAGCAGGAGTTGTAGTGTGAGAGATTGGATGTTCTTGTTTATCTATGGATTGGAGTGTTACTACATGAATGTTGCTTGCTTTGTGCTTTGTGGAACTATTAAGTGATGTGAGTTAGCTATTAAGTGAATATGTCAAGTCACATGTGACAAGGGTTGGATAATCTTAGAGTGATAGATTTGACCTATTACGCAACTCTCGTTTAAGTCTAACTGTTGTAAGGGACAAGTCTTTTACTCGAAGGATTATCTAAGCTTGTTGCATGTGATTGTATTCATGAGGTGGGTAACTGACATTATGGGGAGTTCTTCAGCAGCTGATGGCAGGGTGAGGTTGGAAACCTAGCAAAGCCTAGGAAGTGATTCGGTGGGTTTAGTTGTGTTGTTAGCGAGTATTGTAGTATCGGTTGAGAAGGTGACTTAGAGGTTTCGAGTTGATTCTCGAGGAAAGTATGGATAGGTGTGGAAGGTAGTATTGGGCCCATACTAATGAAAGCACATGATCCATACTCGAATCGGGGAGAGTTTTGGAGAATCTAGGAAGCCTGTAGGATGAGGATTCTTAGATATGTTTTGATTATTTATATGGCTGTTCTTCAGATTGGTGATGAGCACTCGGGAAAGAGGTTCGAGTTTGAATTCAAACTCAGGTTCAGGTGTTGGGCTGGTCGATGAGCGCATGCGTGAGTTCATCTCATTGGACGTTACCCGTAGTATTTTGGAGTATACTCCTGTGATCTTTGGTTTGGTCAATGAGGGGATTTTGGAGCTCTTGGATGGTCATCTCGGGGCTTCTCAGACCAAGATTTTAGTAGGGCAGTTGGGGGCTCATCTGGAGCGCAAAGCCGGTGGAACCCTAGAATCCTTCAGGAATGAGGATCCTATTTCTAGTTCTTGTCATATGGTATCGGAGGTGGGTTATGAACCATGTTTTCAGAGGGGTTGATCCCATGATTGGATTGCCACAAAGATTTTGCGAACCTTATGTGTAGAGTTTGTTGAGAGAAAAACTTTAGGTGAAACACTTGAACAAACGTTAGTACAAGATTATAGTTGCAGAATAAGTTAATCTCAAAGGATCATAAAAGCTCAACAATAATAAGTTAAATTTATAAGATAGTTAGTTGCAGAATTATAAGGTGCTGAAAAGTAAAGGAAATGTAAATTACAACAAGTTATATCAATTATACACCAAACTGATTCATAACAAGGTTTGCATTCAAATACAAGTTAGTAAGAGTGATCAGTTTAAAGTGAAGAGGATCTTCGAAGATAATGATCTTGAGTGATCAGTTCAAATACAAGTTAGTAAGAGTGATCAGTTTAAAGTGAAGAGGATCTTTGAAGATAATGATCTTAGTATTTCAGAGTGAAAGTTTAGAAAGATCGATAAGATATATGATAAGAAGAAGTGATAGAGAGATTCATGTTTTGAAACGTGAAGTTGGAGACTCTATTTATAGAGTTCCATATAGTTACATCTTGGATAAAATATAATAAACTACTGACTTCTAAGTGACCATGCAAGGTTCACTGGACACTACATTGCTAATAAGACAAGTCAGTTGATGTAACAAAAGTTCTTCACTGCGGTAGAGAGATTGCGGTTTAACTTCGGATCAGGCATCTTCAACTGCGGTAGTGAAATCTCCGTTTCGGTGCAAAGGATGGTTGTGGTAGACAGAAAACGATTACGGATAAGTTTAGAGGGCCACTTTTTGTAACAACATTTTCCCCCAAAGCGACCTCTATAACTTTCTTGTTCATTTATCAAGCTTCAATAATTTGATAAGGATCCACCAGAACTTCCTCACTTCATTCAGCCAATTGATTCTTCTTGTTATCTCAAACTTTACTTCATCTGTTGTGTTTTTGGACCTTTGAACCGAAGTCAGAGTTACTTCTAGTTGCTTGCGGGCCCCTTTGAACCGAAGTCAGAGTTACTTCTAGTTGCTTGCGGGCCAGTCTGTGAATTGTAGTAACAGGAATGAAGTATTTGATGCCAGTGACTACAAAAAAAAAGACATTTAGTGGCATAAACTTTTAGTGGCATATTTATTTTATGCCACTATATATCCAATTGTTTTCCAAAATTTTAATTCCCTACGTTGCCTCCCTCCTTTCTTTTTCATTTTCCCTCTATTTCTATTTTTTTTTCATTTCCCTCTGTTTGCCAAATTTTCAACTACATCAATTAAACCCTAAAGGTACGTTTCATTT